CCTTGTTAGTCATATTGCTTAGTTTGTGTAGCTAAGTATTTGCGCTCTCTAATTTGGCATTGGTTGTCTTGTTATTAAGCATTGCTAGTGAGCTTAGGAGCTTTGTGCTTTTGCTTACTAGAATTGTGTAGGAGCTCCTCGGTGTACAAAATACTAGTGGTATAGGTTTGTGTGATCTTGCTCCTAGAATTGGATAGGTGAGCTCTAGCTAGCATAGCACCTTTGTTGTCTAATTAGGATTTTTTATAAGGTGCTTGTGAACTTCGATAGAGGGGTGTAGTCTTTGCTAGACCGATTGTTTTAATTCCGCATTTGTTTCGGTTAGCAGTCGCGATTAAATTTAGAAAGGACTATTCACCCCCCTCTAGTCCACCATCTCGACCTTTCAGCAATACTCATACATACTAATTCAGAGGTTTCACCAGTACATATAAACTTTATTAACATAAAAGTTTCATAAATTCTAGGACTTAATGTCGGATGGGTAGGTAATTGCTAATGTACTCAATTGATTGATGCGATCCCGAAATCTAGAGGTAGTGAACCGTAGCGAAGATGATAGCATCTTCGTCCATGGACACATTGTATCTATAAAGTATGTCTACTTCCTGTTCAGTCCTGCAAAGCACAAAAATCTCTTTACAAACAGGGTCTTGAACGATTCTTGTCAAATTTTGTGGTCCGAGAAGGTGATGAATAGCGGCTTCAACAATCAACAGTCGGTTCGGGTGAATGCTCGTCCCCAAGTAGCAAACAACATCATCTAGGGTCCTAGTGCTACCCCTAGCTGCCAAAACGCAAGGTTGCTCTCATTGAAATGGCTTCTTCTGAAGTAAGATATCAGTTGCAATGAAAAAATTCCTAATATGAATAAAACTGATACCGGACCCAAAACCAATTGGAACCAAATGCAAACAGGAGGGGTGACCGAATCCATCTAACCTTCACGAGGCGTTGTCCACGACAACAATGCAAGGTGCTCGAGGCAGGGCAAGTACAAGCGACGGGTCAAAATAAAGATGAAGCAATGGATGGGGATAATGAAGATAAAACAACGGGTGGGGAGAACTAATGGTTTTGTATTGAGATTTTTAGTTGGTCGAACCGCTGCCAAGGCACCGCTAGGACTCGAGGGGAGTTGGGAATGGGTGGGGCGCTTTTAGGTTTATTGCCAAACGGACAGTCCAGATTGATCGGAACGAGAACAGACGACACGAGATAAGTTAAACAGTGTTCGTATTAAGCCAACCATTATCACGTTAATCCAACGCTATAATACGGCGATTGTCAGCGGTTAAATTGCTTTTAGATTCTCCTGGAAACAACCGCAACTGTACATGACAGTTTTTTTCCTTTTCATTCACAAATATATAGAAAAATTAAAAAACATTCATCGAGAGATCAAATCCGTGCACTAGCATTTGGGAAGTAGTATTGGAAAGAACTTGATTTGCATTTCATATAAAAAAGATGGCATTGAAGAGTCAAATCTGCGCGCATAGATTTTTTTCATGGATTAATTATATATATCTAACATATAGATACAATTTGGATAAGTATATAATTGTACTCGTCCGAAAATATAATAACTAACCTAAACAATTAAAACTACTTATACTAACTATAAACTACTTAATCTAAATATATGATCCTCTCGTGCTCGCCTCGCTCGCTTGGGAGGAGGTAAGGCGAAGTCGGAGTCAGAGTCGTCGTTGTCGTCTTCGGCGTTGTCCTCGTGCTTCTCATCCTCCTCCTCCGGGTCCTCCTTCTCGGAGCTCTACGGAGGACTATAATCAGACATCCCGTCATCGAAGGAGACGTTCTCCTCAGAGGAGTGATGGGAAGGCAATTCGTTCTCGCTGGACGACGGGCTACTTGGAAACTTGACGGGGCTATCTGACATTTTCTTTGCAGATTGAAAGAGAAGGGGGTGATGGATAAAGAAGAGGGGTGGTTTCAGAGGGCACCGGGTTTCAAGTATATGTACAGCAGTGGGTACGTGGCTCTTAGGCTTCAGATGGCGAAAGTAATGGTGATTTGACGGCCTTGGAAGTTGAGGCAATTCAACACTCACACTGAATTTACCGCTGGTTGACCAAACGCTACTTTAGGGGCGATGGGCAAAATACGTATCCCAGTCGGTCCGGCTTTTCATGCGACGAAGGAAATGTAACCCCAATACCACTGCCGCATCTGTCGTTAACCCGTCGATGGTAGAAGTCTTAACTACTGGTTGAGGCCTCGCTATCGTTCCAACCGACTATGCAAGTATCACACCGCCGCTTCTATCGCTACGACAATGAAAGTGGCGACAATGAAAAGTAAATCTGTAGTAGTGTGTGTTTTCTACACACTATCCTATATACAAAATTGGGCAACATAAAATCGCATCATTATTGTTGGAACCCGATGCGATAGCGCAAACACAAATCATTCCCTTGTGCGCACGGGCACCAACTCTCACTTATCCGATTTTGCACTTTCATTTCAAATGTGGGTGGACAAGCTCATGAATACACAAAAACTTTGCCTCTAGTTAGGGCTACCTCCCACCCCTTGTTGTTCCTCTGCTTGGCGGTGCTCTCCATTCCCACCTCCACAAGATCGTGCACACTTATTTCTCAAAAAACCTGAAATCGTGCACACTTTGTGTTGTTGGTGCTCGTCGGATGGAGATCCATTGTGCATTTTTCGGCTTTGCGGTTCATCTTCTTCACCTACATCTATAGATCTTGGATTCTCTTGCCAGTCTTCGATCTTTCTTTTGCGCGTTCTGGTTGTGGTACTTGTTTCCATTCATAGAGCTCTCCATGGGGTCCTCATTTTATATGATGAGCTACCCTAGTCAATGATAAAAAGAATCAAAATACCCTTGAATTTGTTACATGGAGGAGAGACTATTATGTCCTGTTCTGATGGTGGTTTTTAGACTGATTCAGTAGTGTTATGTCAGAGAGAATAAGCTAATTTCGATTAGAAAACCGAGCTGATAAGTTAACAGGCACTACGAAAGAAAGACGTGGAAGAATGCACTGCTCGGATTAGGATGTACGGAGTATGTCCGATTCTGACATCCATGAGATCCAACGGTGACATATGGTATTCTTTTCTAGAAAAAAAACTTTTAAAATATGGGTGTTTGATATAAGAGAATAAAAAGCATGTTCGTTTGGCTGTGGCTTGTTGTAAACGATCGTAAATTTTCAACCGGAACAATATTTTTCTCTCACACAAACCAGTCAGCAGTACTTCTTCATAAACCAGCAACGAAACGAACCAGGCAACCGAACATGCTGAAAATATACAGGTACAGGCAGGGTGTGTTGTGTGTTCGCTACACAAGTACGTACATCTCTTTTTTCTTTTTCCTTATTATTACTCCGCCGCCGGGCCTGCTGGGCGCTTCCGCTGCCAGTGGCCGGTGCTGCTGCGCGCTGGCTCCTGGGCACCTCCGCCTCGCGTTGCTGTGCGTGCGTGGCCAGCTCCGCTGCTGCGTGCTGGCCGCCGCCGTGTCTGGAGCGCGTCCTGTTGGCGCTCCACGCTAGGCGCCGCCGCCGCGCACTGCGCGCTGGACGCCATCGTTGCTGCTGCGGCTTGCCTCTGCCCGCACACGGAAGTGCTATTTCTCCAATTCGGAGTAACCGAGCGAACCCAACCCACCTGTTCTCCAAGCCAAACAGCCCGGTCCGACCCAACCCAACCCCGAACCTGACACACGCTAGACCCTCCCACCCTACGCGGCAGCGGATCCTCCCCTCCACCGCGCGCGCCGTCTCTAGCTTTTGCCCAAATTGGCACTTCCGCTTCAAATGTGTTCTGCTCGCCGACGAGGGGCATTTACATATTTACCGCTAAATACTACACTGTATCACTGACTTTCTTGTACCACTCACGTCGCCGTGACGATAAATATGTAAATATTCCGCCGGCGAGGGTTTGTTAGGGCTTTAAGAGGCGCTGCGCCAGCCGCGCGCTCTCACCCCCACATTCATCGTCCTTGCGTCGTGTAGATCAGGCCGGCCCCGCAGGGTTCCGTTGCCCGTCTCTTCCTTCGACCCCCGTCTGCGAGGGTAGCTTCGCGCCGAGGCGTCAGCGGCGCGATGAACGTACCTGTAGTCGGTGAGTTCTCGATGCGATTCTCGTGTGGATTTTTGTCATTGGGGGGTTGGGAATGTGTCTATTCGGTAGAATTCCGGATAAATCTGGTCGGCTGTGTTGCGGTTAGTGTCTCTTTTTCCACAGATTCAAGGTGGGAATTTAGGGTTTTAGAGGGGGCGGGCGGTATGAGGAAATTGGAGCAGGTCTGCTTCGCTGCTGAATTTCTTCTGTTTTAGGCGATTTGGGACTTGATACTTTGGGTGGTAGACACGAGGTTAACCCCATGTTTTTGCCCTATAATGTTTGTGGTCGGCGGGTAATATGATTGGTTATTTGTTTCTGTCGATTGCTATAGTTCGTTTGGGTGTTCTGGTGGCACCGAAATGAAGTGTTGCCTAGGGTTGAAAACAGGGTTTTAGATTGCTTTTTTAGTTTGCTTGATGCGCACGCATAAATTCTGTTCTCGTTAGATGTTTGTTTTCATCCTTATGCAGGTGGACTACAGAAACTTAGCAAGGTTGATTGAAGGCTAGGAATTGATAGCCAAAAAAATTCTGTCTGAATCATTACATTTCGCCATTTGTTTTGTTGTCTAACGAAATTTCTAATTTTGATGCCCACACGTGAATTCATTCATTGTCATTTCGAGTATTCATATCACTGTTTTGGATTTTCTTCTAGTTATCACAATGTCCATATATTATCTGAAATATCATATTCAGGGAAAATTTGATCCGTGACATCGAAAGATCACAATTTTAGAAGTATACCTTCATACTGTCTTGGTTCACTTTAATAACGCCGAAATTTTGGGCCATTTAGAAATATGCCAGTCAGTTACCTTTTCTATAAACCCAGCCTCGTCATTGTCATCCTGCCATTTCCTTTCGAGTCACAGCGGAATGAGTTCTTCTTCCTCCTCCTCCTCCTCCTCCTCCACTCCGGTTCTCTACTACTCCGATGGCCGCTCCGACATGACACGGTCACCTCAAGATGACCCTAACCCTCAAAGTATGTCTCCATTCCATGCCTACTTCACGACGCTCTCCTGTCCCAGTCTCTTCTTGTCACTGCCCCTCGCCCCTCTGCCACCGGAAGTGCAGATCCATCTGGCCTTAGATTTGTTCGTTCTTTTGAGCAATGAAACCAAATCTCTGTTGTTTCTCAAATCCGATTCAGCCTCAGCTGTTGCTGCGATTTGCTTGCTAGGTGGCGGAGTACTCAATGTGCTATTTGATACAGTGTGGAGGTGATTTTGGGCGAGGTGGAGCTTTATTTTGTACAGTCAATTTGGGGTGGGGGGGTGCGATTTGGGCAAGAGGAGATCCTTCTGATTTGAGCTATCTGAGCTCCAGAATCGTCTCTCTCCACGCTGCCTTTCATGTTGAGTAGATCTGAGCTGGGTCATGAGTGTGTGACAGCTTTGGGTGGAGGTGGGCTGTTGTGCCGTGGCTTTGACTAGAGGTGGGCTGAGGCACAGACTGCAGAGACTTCCTATGCACGTGGATTGGGGTGCGGCGGTGTGCGCCAGAGATGCATACGGGCTACAGATTGAAATATGGCAAGCATTGCAATGGCGAAGACAATTGTTGGATGGAAAGTGTCACAGAACGTTATGTTTCTAATCGGCTTGATCTTTTGATGTCCCCTTGTTTTATCACTTACCAGACAAAGGAAGTTAAGCCATTCCTGCTATATGGGAAATACTTTAGCATGTATTGTGTTCTTAGATTTCTATGTTGAGAAGAAACATGGAAAAAATATCTTGAAATATTGAAGTGCTCTCTGTGTATTCTTGCAGATCCATATCAGGGGGAATTTCCTGAGACAATCGAAGAGTACTTGCATCATGGTACTATGAAATGTATCGCGTTTAACCGCAAAGGAACACTTCTTGCTGGTAATTATCCGAGCTTGTTCCTCTACAAGTAAATTTCAAGTGACTGTTTTCTGTAACTATCTTCCCAGCCCAGTTCATATAAAACATGCTGAATTTCTTTTATAGTTCTTGACTAGAGTTGGTTTTAAGGGCCTGTTTGGCTCGTTGCTGCAACGCATCTGCAGCATGCCGCAACACTGTTTGGTTCCTGCCCTACCAACAGTGTGCCGAAGAAAACATGGCATGGTCTAGTGTATTTTGGTGCCAAAGCTTGCCAAATGTATGGCGTGGAATTTGAGCGCCGCACTTTAGGCGAGCCTTAACTGCGTTGCGGCGTCCTGTGGCCACATGCCAAACAGGCCCTAACTTGTTGGATTTTGTTTTGGTTAACAAGGATTAAAATTTCTTCTAATCTGGTGAAATGATTTCATTTCCATCATTTCTCATTTTTAGCTGCACAATCAGTCTGTGTCACTGCCAATGCCTGTGGGATCATTTGCCTCCTAATGCAATCAGTGGCTCCGCTGATCTCTATACTATGGATGAAAAGATCACCATCATTTTATTTTCCTGTTCATGGTGGAACATTTGCATTTCCATTTGTTGACCCACAATCTATAAACATTTAATCCAGGATGAGCTCAGTTTCTTTTGACCTCTTATTAATACTTTCCTCATAGTGCAATTACCCTAGGTTGTATTATGTGCACCAAAATAGAATAGTATATATGGGGGTTACAGAGTCCTGGATATTGGATTTTGTTGATGGATGTCAGAAGGGGAGTTGGGTTACAACACCAAAATAGACTTTCGTTTTCAGGTGCGTGCCCGTAGGGATAAACAAGCTAAGATTGAAAGAACAAAAGTGGTGGAAACTGAAAGGGGAAACGTCAAAGGTATTAGGGAAAGGGTTATCAAAGAGGGCTCTTGGAAGGAAGAAGAGGACATAAACAACATGTGGGAGAAGATGGCAACCAACATTCGGAAGGTGGTCTCAGAGGTGTGTGGAGTAACCAAAGGAGGCTAAAGATACTTGGTGGTGGAACGAGGAAGTCCAAAGGGCTATTAAGGAGAAGAAAGAATGGTATAGACGCTTGTACCATGACAGGAGTGTGGACAACATAGAGAAGTATAAGGTGGCAAAGAAGACTGCAAAGCGAGCTGTAAGTGTGGCAAATGGTAGAGCGTACGAGGATCTTTACCAACATTTGAGTACGAAGGAAGGAGAGAAGGACATTTATAGGATGGCTATGGTTCGTGAGAGAGACAAGGGACTTCAACCAAGTTAAGTGCACTAAGGATGAAAGAGAACATCTCTTGGTGAAGGAGGATGAGATCCGACATCGATGGCAAGAGTATTTTGACAAATTGTTCAATGGTGAGAATACGGACACAATCTTTCAGTTGGATGACTCTTTTGATGACACCAATAGGCGCTTTGTGCGGATAATCCAAGAATTTGAAGTCAGAGAGACGTTGAAAAGGATGAAAGCAGGTAAGGCGATGGGACCGGATGATATCCCAATCGAGGTGTGGAGAAGCCTCGGGGACATAGCTATAGTATGGCTAACCAAGCTGTTCAACCATATTTTTCTATCGAACAAGATGCCTGACGAGTGGAGGAGATGTATATTGGTACCGATCTACAAGAATAAATGGGATATTCAAAGTTGTACTAATTACCGGGGAATTAAGTTGATGAGCCATACTATGAAGCTATGGGGGAGAGTTATCGAGCATCGCTTGAGAGCAATAACGCGGGTCTCTATGAACCAATTTGGTTTCATGCCCGGAAGGTCAACCATGGAAGCAATTTTCTTAATAAGACAAGTTATGGAGCGGTATAGGGAGAAGAAGAAGGACCTACACATGGTTTTTATTAACTTGGAGAAGGCTTATGATAAAATACCAATGAATGTTATGTGATAGGCTTTGGACAAACATAAAGTCCCAACGAAGTATGTCGGGCTCATTAAGGACATGTACAACAATGTTGTGACTAATGCTCGAACAAGTGATGGAGACACGGATGACATTTTCCGATTAGGATAGGACTACATCAAGGGTCAGCTTTGAGCCCTTATCGGTTTGCCTTAGTGATGGATGAGGTTACAAGGGACATACAAGGGGACATCCCTTGGTGTATGCTTTTTGCGGACGATGTAGTGTTAATTGATGAAAGCCGGACAAGAGTGAATCAGAAACTGAAGTTATGGCGGGAGACTTTGGAGTCCAAAGGTTATATGAGATGTGACTTCGGCACTACTACTCGGGAGGAGGAAGATATTAGTTTGGAAGGTCAAGTAGTGCCTAGGAAGGATACATTTCGATATTTAGGATCAATGTTATAGAGAGACGGGGATATTGATGAAGATGTTAGCCATAGAATCAAAGCAGGGTGGATGAAGTGGCGCCAGACATCTGGTGTTCTATGTGACAAAAGGGTACCACAGAAGCTAAAAGGCAAGTTTTATAGGACGACGATTAGACCTGCTATGTTGTATGGTGCAGAATGTTGTCCTACGAAAAGACGACATGTTCAACAGATAAGTGTCGCGGAAATGTGTATGTTGCGTTGGATTTGCGGTCATACACGAAGGGATCGAGTTCGGAACAATGATATACGTGATAGATTAGGGGTAGCATCAATTAAAGAAAAGCTTGTTCAACACCGATTGAGATGGTTTGGACATGTCCAACGGAGACCTCTAGAGGCACCAGTGCGTAGTGGAATCCTAAGCCAGGATAGTAACATGAAGAGAGGCAGAGGAAGACCGAAGTTGACTTGGGTAGAGGCAATAAAGGGAGACTTGAAAGGATGGAATATACCCAAAGACTTAGCCTTAGATAGGAGTGCTTGGAAAACAGCTATTCACGTGCCTGAACCTTATTGCTTCTGTTGGGTTTCAACTCTAGCCTATCCCAACTTGTTTGGGACTTAAAGGCTTTGTTGTTGTTGTATGTCAAAAGGGGAGTCAATAATCTATGTTAAATTAGCAAGCCACATTGTATTTTGATGCACCCTTAGTATTCTACTCCCTCCGTTCCAAATTATAAGTCGCTTTGACTTTTTTGGTACATCCATTTTGCTATGCACCTAGATATAATAATATGTCTACATACATAGCAAAATAGATGAATCAAAAAAGTCAAAGCGACTTATAATTTGGAACGGAGGGAGTATATGGCTCACTTCTGCATGGAAATGAGAGAGAACGGAAAGACAGCAACATGAGTTTTATCATACCCTGCTTCCTTATCCAACCTTGGATAGTTTTCTTCCTGTTGCGGTACCATGATTCAGAGTGGTGTTATGAAAGGGAATGCTGTGTACACTTGTCAAGCGAGGAGCTTTTTTTTTACTTTATAATCTTAGTTCCATATGAAGCTAGTGCTGTATGCCTGTAAAAGCTCATGATATATATGGATGTCAACATTATTTTTTATGACATGCACCGTTAGATCTTTAGATGGTGTAGAGTATCTTTCAGTTGTGAAATTGTTTCTAGTGGTCAATAACAATGTCTGTTACATATTTCCAGCTGGATGCTCAAATGGTAGCTGTATTATCTGGGACTTTGAAACAAGGGGTTTTGTAAAAGAATTTCGTGATAAAGATAGTACTGCACCTATAACAAGTGTCTCCTGGTCAAGGTATGGCCACCGGTTGCTTGCCTCTGCTACTGACAGGTCATTGACACTTTGGGATGTGTCAACTGGGGAAAAGATTGCCCGTATTACTCTTCAGCAGACTCCATTGCGTGCCAGCCTTCAACCTGGTTCTCCAACTCCATCTATTTGTTTGGCATGCCCTCTATCTTCTGCACCTCTTCTTGTCGATTTGAATACTGGAAGTACCACAGTTCTCCCTGTTTCTGTATCTGAGAATGGTATCCCCCCTGCACCTAACCCCCGTATTAAATTTGCGGATGGTACCCCACCTTTCACGCCAACAGCTGCAACGTTTGATAAGCATGGGGACCTGATATATGTGGGCAACTCCAAGGGAGAAATTTTAATCATAGATTCAAAAAGCATCCAGGTACATGCAGTAGTTCCCATCCCTGGTGGAAGTGTTGTTAAGGATATTGTTTTAAACCGGGATGGTCAATATCTGCTGACAAATTCTAATGATCGGGTCATTAGAGTCTTCCGAAACATTCTGCCTGTTAAAGGTTCTGGAGAGGAGATTAGAAACATAAGCAACAACAGTAATGAATATGGAAGTCACTACGATAAATTAAAAGCAAATGGTACAAGCTGCCTTGTTCTTTCCTGTGAATTTTTGGATGCCATCACAAAGATACAGTGGAAGGCACCATGTTTTAGTGGCAATGGTGAGTGGATAGTTGGTGCTTCTGCAAACAAAGGAGAGCACAGGTTGCAGATATGGAACCAAGCAGGGCGCCTTGTAAAGATGCTTGAAGGTCCAAAAGAAGCTCTTATTGATCTTGCCTGGCATCCTGTTTTGCCAACAATTACTACAGTATCTGTAACAGGCTATGTATACATTTGGGCCAAGGAGCATGTAGAGAATTGGAGCGCTTTTGCTCCTGATTTCGTAGAATTAGAAGAGAATGAAGAGTATGCCGAACGAGAGGATGAGTTTGACTTGAATCCACGTGAAGAACAGGTGAATAAAATTTCAATACCCATTTTTTTTACAGTTGTTCGTGGTATGCACTTGAATATTTTTCTCTAAATCCTCTATGTAGGCTGAGGAAGTAGTGATAGATGAGGATGCTGATGTTGATATCGAGACATGTGAGAAGAACACAGTGTTCAGTGATGTGGAGGATTCTGTGGATGAGATCTGCTACTTGCCAGCAATTCCTGACCCAGATTCTCCCAATGAGCAGCCAGAGAAATGCCTTGGAAGTTCAAAGTTGGAGGATAGCAACCATTCTGGTTCCCCATCCTCAATGGATGCTGTACAGAATGGACAAGCCATTCCTCCAGCATCAAGCCCAATGGAAGGTAAAGCTTTCTTGTGTCAGTTTTTGTTTTCTATTTCTGTGCAACTGTCACTATATTAGTAGTCCTTGTGTTATGGCAAGTAGAGCCGGCCCAGGGGCCCACGTGGTACTGTAGCGACACGGTACTGTAGCGCGTGAAGATTAGATTAGATTGTTTGTTTTGCTAGGAAAGAGATATGTGGTTTGTTTTGATAGGAAAGATATATGTTAGATTGATTCGGTTAGGATATTTCCTTAGGGGTCAAGTCAGTCATCTCTATAAAAGAGAACCCTGTATCAGTTATAGTCAAGCAAGAAGCAACAATTAAGTTGCTGGCTTCCCATGGGAGCCAGCCGTACCTGCCCTCTCTCCCTCGTGTGAACAGTACCCGCGGGTACTGTAGCTCCGTCGCCGCCTCTCCCTCTCAATCCTAGCAGCCACATAACACCTTGTGCTTCTGATTTGTTTTCCAATTGGACTCTACTAGTACTGTGGTTTGTTTTGTGTTCATATAAAAAACTTGCAGACCATCATACCAAGAAAACTAAGCTGTGCACCCATCATGATGTAGACTTGATGGAATTTGGTCTGCAGTTTAGGTCATGGAAAATTACAGAACTGTTTATACATGTTGTGAAACTTTGGTTTACCAAATGACTATATAGTGTATTCAAAGTATAGTAAGTTGCATCCATATGATATACTCGTGGTCAGGGATAGAATTTTGAAAACATGATCCATCTGTTGTTTCACGTATTACTCTCAGTAAGTATAATGCTAACTCTTTTCATGCATGGACAATAATGTTCTTGGTTTTATTCCTCTGGCAGTTGACAACTCTACTGCTGAAGACCCAGAAGAAGGGCCAAACTCAAAGCGGAAGCGGCGGCTGTCAGTGAAGGGGCTTGAGTTGCAGCAGTCTGAGAAAGGCAAAAAGGGATCAACAAAGAACAAGTCCATCGGAAAGTCCACAAAATCCAGTGCCAAGAAGATGGAATCTGCCAATGGAAACAGCTCTGCCTTTGATGATGAAGCAACTGAGGATGATGAGATTAACATCGACAGCTAGTGTGTTTCTGACTGAGGGCAATAGATGTGGGGAATAGAAAAGGTCTTTTCCCCACAATTAAAAAGAACTGTTGTATGCTGTGGCAATATTAAACGCAAGTATCAGTGTTGTTGACTGTAAATTGATATATGCTGTTTCTCTTATTTCTTAGCTCTGTTTTGCACCCATGAGTATTTGGCTGATAATAATACAGTAATAAGTTTTACTTTTGGAGATGTTAAGTTTAATAATTCCTTGATGCTGGAGGCGATGGCCTTTTCTGTCGGTGTACTGGTGGGTGCTCATATGACCCCTCGAGCACATGGTTTATGTGGTACATGTGATTCTGGAAAGTCCTGCTTCTAGAAATGTATGATTTATGTCATACCTGTTGCATCTATCATTGTGCCAGGTGCCCGCTTTTGTATTATTGGACACCAAAAGCGGGCACATGCTGCAGATTTGTTTCGCGTACAGAATCGTTGTCTAATATGATGCATATTGCATGAGTGATCACATCCAGGGTTGCAAAAGAGGCATGAGCAGCACAGGTCGGCGGATATGGGTGCCACACCAGCAGCACCTCAGTAAGCTTTCTGATATGTTGCAGCTAAGAAATGTCCACATTCTTTTCCTTTTCTTTTACATTACATAATCGGTACACATGAGCATTGTAAATTTTCCAAATATGCCTTTTAACCTCCATTGTTTTCTTACCTTTTTATTTGTCTGCGCCGTGGAAACAAAAGAGGCATGAGCAGCACAGGTCGGCGGATATGGGTGCCACACCAGCAACACCTCAGTAAGCTTTCTGATATGTTGCAGCTAAGAAATGTCCACATTCTTTTCCTTTTCTTTTACATTACATAATCGGTACACATGAGCATTGTAAATTTTCCAAATATGCTTTTTAACCTCCATTGTTTTCTCAACTTTTTATTTGTCTGCGCCGTGGAAACAAGTTCGATTCGTGCAGGAACATTGGAGACTTCTGAAAATCTATGCTTAGGCTGTCTCCAACAGGAGACCCATCGTGGAACCCAAATCCAAAATAGGCGTCTAATAAAATAACTATAGTCTCCAACAGAGTATCTATATAGAACACCCATTTTAGGTGTCCAGGAGAGGTATAACCCAAATTTGAGTATCCTCTCTTCTGGAGACCCATTTGTAGAAGGGGTTGTCTTTTGAGTCTTGTTGTTGGAGAAACAAAAAATATGTATTGAACCATTTTCTTGTAGCGCTATCCAAAGAACGAATGTCTTGTATTTTGAGTCGTGATTGTTGGAGACAGTCTTACAAAGTTCAGAGATCAGCTACCCGTTGCTCTCCCTGGTCTGGTCTGGTCTGGTCTCTTCCCTGCCCTGAGTGGCCGAGTCCTTGGCCACTCCTATATCCGGAAAGCACAGCGGCCCCTAGCCACTTTTAGTACCATATAACCGCCTGTCAAGACCAATCATCGCTGCCGGCTTTTGCTTAGGGCATGGATCGACGTGCAAATTGCTTGTACGATCGCTGCAATATTCTTATCAGTTAAGTTCATCATCATCGAGTCAGGGCATGATCGGCACTTATTAGCGCTCCTAATCATGCGCCCTTGTCGGCTTCTGCACGATCTAACGATCTCGCCCCCTTTCGTGATCTGTTCTTGGTTTTCTATTTCGCGCAACCGTTTTGATCTGCTTTCATCGTACGGCCCTCATGTATATAGTAGTATATTCGGTTGTCAAATGGAAGTATTAAGTGCATGCGCGCTACGGATGAGAACTTAAGAAGCTTAATAAGAATAAGACGTACGTATATATAGAATTGATTAGGGCCTTTGGGCCTTTGGTGGGATGAGATTAAGGTGGCCCTTCATGACCACGCAGCAAATGATGTACATGCAAGTATGTAACTTTACAACACAAAGGCACTGTACGATTATGAATTGCATGCATGTGCTTAAAGCCCCTGTCAAATCACAATGTTCAGATGAAATAAGAGAACATTCAGGCAAAAACTAGGAATAACCCAAGAGTTAGGTAAACCGTTAGCTTCTCCTTCCAATTTGTTTGGTTCATATATGCCTCTTCTTATATTACCTTTGGCTCTTAGTAACACTAACACCAAGTTCTTTGCTACGTTGATGCTTGATGGAAAATATATCTGTAAGCTTACACTGTTGCAGTTTGGTTGTTTCAGTTGAGACTTGAGAAGCATATATAGAGGACAAACGCGCTACTTCTCTTAATGGTGAAAAGCGCGCCAAGCATGATGCTGAAAAAAAGACACGGTAGAAGCACAACACTGTATATGTGGGGAAGAAGAGAAATGCAAGAGATCATTTTAGGGCACAAAATTATCTTTCGCTAAATGTCCAGCAATCACAATTCTTCCGAAAGTTTTTATGGAATTTCCAAATGTGCTTCAACACTGTATATGTGTGGGGCAGGAATACAGCACTGTTATGTCCTGCAAAAATTCTCTTTCCATAAATGTCCAGCAAACACAATTCTTCAGAAAGTTCTTATGGAATTCCCAAGTGTGCTTCACTAGTCTTGGAATTTGGGATCAAAGTGGTCCTGCATGAGCATGCTCACAATTATATGTACATATGCAAGTATGTAAACTTTACAACACAAATGTACTGTATGCTTAGGAACTGCATGTGCTAAAGCTCTGTTTATCAAACACAGGTTCACAGTATTCATGCTAATGTACTTTGGTGATCTTCTTCGTGAATTGCAATAATTAGTGAGGCCCAGTGTGGAAAAGACTGGTATGCACCTGTACGTGTCATGTTGTATCGCTTTACATTTTTTATGTGGATGACCTCTCTTGATTTTCTCTACCATTTCTTACTTACTGTGCAAGCCCCACGTCGCAATGATCCCTTACCTAGGAACAAAAAATATTGAGACCTTTCAAAAAAAATATTGAGAATAATTATTGAGTTTTATGTGTTCAACCTAAAACCCCAAACCCATGGGGTAAAAGTAACGGTGGACAATTTACCTATACTTTGAGCCAATTCTCACTGGCATGCAGGCTCTCTTAGGTCTCAAATGTGAAAAATATGGGTATGCTATATATTTTTCTATTTAATTGCTCGCTAGAATTCAAAGTCAAGATCTCTAGCTCCGATCATAATGCATGAGTTGCATCAGCACAGCCTAAGCTCAATTCACTTATACTCCTCCATTATATAGCCACTGAAAATATACACATTTTTGTAATAAATATTAGTACACCTAAACCCTTTTTTCTCTCTTTCTTCAGGATAGCCATTAACTTTCTCCTTTAACATGCATCCGGTATGCTCACTCTGTGCTTCTGTCTTAACCACACAACGGGTCCTAATCATGATGGATGTATATCCATCAGCCCATGCTATTGTAGTTTCTCAATAATTCATTCAACAAAGATTTATGAGTAAACTAGAAAAGTACGTAGGTTAGAAATGAGGACACAGGCGTCATATATTCCAATGAAAGTGCCATGCAATCGTAGTGGTTTTGTTTCGTCCAAAGTTCATTAGAAAAATGCAAAACTGGTATAGTTGTAAGTACTTTCTATTGAACATTGTATTTGTATCCACTGTTTAGAAGGGTTTTTTTTTTTTGCATCCACTACATTGAATTGACGATCTGAGTTTTTTCCATAAAAAATCAATATACTTGCTCAATCTGTGGTATAAGTCCATTTGCAATTGCTTTGCCATGTGAATTATTTCTTGGAATAGAATTGGGATGTGCAAAATTTTGATACTGATATTATGTGACAACTTTCTGAAGAGTCATGTTGAAAAAAGCAGAAAGGAATGTTTTTGCAGAATCTGATCTAGCAAACATTCGGCGATGATCAGATATTCAGATTAGACATCCGAATGTCTAACACATCAACGCAGGGTTGTGAAAATCGCAATCCTAAACCAGACCGGAACTCCAACGGGTAGGACAGTGAATTATAGAATCATAACTATTAGAATCGTAAAATCGCATTTCCACTTAATAGAATTGTATAATCAACTAAGATCGTAAAGTAACAAAATCCGCAACTTTATCAACTATGTGTTGCCCATGTAAATTCAGTTTCATACGACGCAATAACCATTCATCATTATCACTTTCTTTTGACTAAGAAATTTAGGAAGACTTCCGTTCCATGGACTTTTTTTATTGGAAACTAACACAAACTTGTTATGTACACACAATTTGCTCGGGATTGGAAATTATTGTAAAGAAGAAGAATATGAAGAAATTGCCACATGCAACGATCATAAATGAAGAAGGTTAAAACTCATGATAATAATGATTAAACATGTGAGCCTGCAAATACAGAAACAGAAGCGACAATGCGCACAAAACATTTAGCGATTGCATTTGCACTGACCAGAGACTCTATCTGACTAATCGCGGTGAAGCTCCAATTTCTCGCTGCATTTATCAGTGAACTAGCTAGCTAGCTTACGTTGGTGGATCATGAGATAATAGCAAACTGAATGGCTTTTATGTCCTCCGGGACAACCTCGTCCAAGCATCTCCTGTGATGATTGGCAACTCTCTTCCTGATTCAAGAAACCATTTCATGATCAATATAATGCAACTGGTCAATTTAAACCAAATCGCAAAAAAAAAGAGATCAATTTAAACCAAATGTTGCAACACCAATTTACTAACTTCGTCGCCAACTAACCTGACGTGCACATCTTCAAACCAGCTTTATCAGCAAATTCCACCTCGCTTTCATCGTCATCATCCGGGTCATTATCTTCGTCGTCCTCATCGTCCCCGTCGTTGTTTTCGCTGCACCGTGGCATGAAATCATCACTCTCCACCTTGTTGTCCTTCATCGTCACGCCGGCGAACAGACCCGTCACGCTCATCTGCTTGCTGATCATCCGAACGACGCAGTACGGCAGCTTCGGGGTCGCACCGCGGGCCGCCCTCCGAGGGTGCTTCCGGCCGTCGAGCCATGCTCCGGCGAAGGCCAGACAGTCAAGGAGGCTCTCCCTGGCCATGCCCTTCATATCGTACGCCTGCGCGCGGCGCCACAAGGCTCCTGGCATGCGCGTTCGCCGGCCGCGACAGCGCGAGCGCGCGTGTCGCGTCGCTCACCGCCGCGTCGGCCTCGCGCCGCGCGAGCCCGCACTGCGCGCGGTTGCTGTGCAGCACCAGACGCTCCCTCCTCCTGCTCAGGGGGCACAGCTCCAAAGCTTCGGTGTAATGATCAATGGCCTTGTCGACGTCGCCATGCATGAAGCTGTCGTTGCCTTGCCTCTTCTTCTCCTTCGCTAAGATCTCTCTCTTCAGCAACTCATCCCTAGGCATTGCTTCCTCTCTCTCCTTCCTCTCTCCCTTCAGTTCTCTCACGCTGGCGATCGCCCTTTTTGCTTCCCCGCCTAGTTCACGGTCACCGACGACATGGCCGTCATCAAGGAGCAGTGCAGTTGCAATGGCGTCGCCGAGTCGTCGCCTTGGACCGAGGTGCCGGAGATCGACCAAGTCAGAGAGGCACAACGCCGTGGCATCAGCAACGGCGTGCCATGTGGCGCGGTCGTCGAGGAGGAGGAGCAAACAATCTACGGCCATGTACTGCCAGTCATCGGACGAGCGCGCGAGGTCACAAAGACTGGACAGCGCATCGCGGCACGCAGCGATGGCGGCGCGGCCGACTGGGCTCCTACAGAGGAGACGCAGCAACCCGACGCCGGCGGGCGAGTCGCCGTTCGCCAGTCCGCCCCACATCCGGGACAGCTCGCTCAAGAACAAGGCGTCCTGGCATATCATGGCATGAGATGACAGGTCCCTGGAAGCGAGGCAGCTCAGTAGGTAGAGCGACCAGCACTGGAGCTGGCTCGCCCACTCCTCCGCCTTCCTGTCCTCGGCGTCGGCTCCGCCGCCGAGCCCGAACGTCATGAGGTCGCGCTGGTACTTCGGCCGCCTGCTCGGTGCCAGCGTGACGAAGTTGGCGTAGACGTCGCCGATGCATGTGGACGCGGAACGCACGGCGAGCTGCACCGCCTCGGTGGCGTGGCGCTCGACGGCCGGGAACGTTGGCTCGTAGCTGGCGAGGTGGCCCAGGGCTCGCGCGGCCGCGCGCTGCTCGACCCACGTCATGGCGCCGCCGAGTAGGGCCAGCAGGGGGCGCACGGCCCCGGCCGCGACGGTCAGCTCGGCGTGCGCGGAGGAGCGGATGGTGTACGAGCCGATGACGTGGGCCGCGTAGTACGGCACGTACACGTTGTCGCCGCGACGGAGCCACGCCGCGTCGGCGAGCGCGCGGGCTAGGAGAAGGGACATGCACCGGATCGCGCCGAGCGAGGGGAGCTCGGGGTCATCGGGCGCGGACATGGCCGCCCGCCACACGGCACCAACCGCCACGGCACACGACTGGCCACTGCCGCCGCCGGTGCCGCCTTCATCCTCGCAGTATGGTAGCTCCCTGAAGAAGGCAGAGAGGTTGGCCAGGCGGAGCCGGGCGTCCGGCTCTTTGATGGCGCAGAGGAAGCACCCGCAGCCGCTTGAGCTGAAGAAGTCGTCATCTTCCTCCTCCTCTTCTTCCAGGATCTTGGCCATGGCTTTGGCCTTGCCCTTTCTGGTTCTAGTGTTCAGCTCCATTATCTGCTATGCTTGTGTAATTAAGCTGAGGGATGTAGAAGAAAGAAGAGAGAGGAAGGCAAGACTGAGAGAGTAGGGTTTTGTACCGAAGTAGTGGATGGTAGGTTTGCAACCAGTCAATTTAGGCAAAGGTTTTTTAAGTCATTGATAACTTCTTTTCACGAAAGAGGGAAGCCTTCTTTTATGTACATGTTCATGATCAGCCCAAAACTGAGAACTTTCTTGAGCAGATAATACGTACTGGCTTGTCAGAGAAACTTGACACATCAGTAGTACCTGCAGCTGCAGGAACCTTCATTGCGCTCGCCAACCTGCATAGTTTTGTGCACTCGACAGTACGAGGTTGCAGTTGCAGAGATTAAAATTTAATTTACGCCGAGTTTAATTTGGATTGGCAGCTAGTGTCAGATGACTCAGATGTCTTAACTGACAGTAAAGTGTCCTTTCAGGACAAATCACATGACTGACACTAGTCGCATTGAGAGAGCAGATTAGGGCCGGCAACGGCAAGCAGGGCACTACCGCACTAGGGCTACGTGGCGTGCTTCAGTTCCGCCCAATCGGTCGACACTCGACAGAGATTTGGCATGCGTCGCTTTCGTTCGCAGCCGGGGGCGGGCGAAGACTGATTTGACTGAACCTGTGTCCATGCATGGACTCTTCATAAGCTGAACATGCACATATACTTTCCAGCTTCCACTTGCGATGCGGTGAAGGTCTAAAGTTGCGGCTGTTAGTCCCCACAAAACCTAGTTTAACCAAACCTTTCTACCAGCAATTACCTAAACAAGGTAGCCAATGCGTGTGAGGTTCCACTCGGTTAATTATGCAGTCTTCACCTTAACTAGCTTCCTATAACTGTTCCATTTTTTTTTACAAGATGAAGAATGCTGGCTTTGCAAGAAGTACACACGCTAACAACCTGACAAATATAGGAAGCTAGTTAAAATAAAAATTTATCTCGTCAAGCTGAACAGTTTTTAAACGACATCAAATTTTCTTATTGGCTGCTGTTTTTTGTGACATTCTTGCTAATAATATGAATCAACATGGATTTTCTCTATCCTAGTAGGCTCGTGAGAAGGTATTCAAGCCATTCAACCCAGCTTGATCTTAATACTAGAGACCCTGAGGAACAGAATAACAGCAATGCATGATGGATCTGATTAGTCTGAACCATAACTAGCTAAGTGTATTGTTGTAAGTAGACTGCACAAGTTTCTCAAGTCTGTAATATACATGTTCCAATCACAGGTTAACCAATGAATTGTGATGCAGAAGTACTATACTTTCCTTATTTATTTTATTGTTTATTTCTGAAAGTGGAGTTCCAACTCAGAAAGGGAACAGTGATGCGTAACAAAAACTAAAAGAACTAAAGAAGCAAGAATGCACTGTGGTCCTTGTGGTCCTTCAAGTGAAGTATGATTTGCATGCATGCTGTCTGCTGCCCACTCAGAAGAAAAGAGGAGAACGGAATGTGAATAAAAAGCAGCTTTAATCTGATAGACAGGCACCAGCCATTGTACTTGATTAAGCGTGATTAAACAATGCTGTGGGTAATTACTCGAGCAGAACAAACTGTTTAGGAGGCCAATGGCAAGAGCCTCCATGGATACGCTTTGGTGAGTTCCCATAACAGCATACCTTTCTTCCACCTTTTGTTCCCCCGAGAGACAGACAGATATACAGAGGACCTAATAATCACCTAACAAACTAAGCAGTACATTTAGCTTTGTTCATGGCCTGTCTAATAGCAATATGGGCTTTTGAAAAAAAAATGCTATGGGCCCAACATGGGCTTGGGCTTGATTTTTCAACACATCAGTCCTATGCCCAGCTCAAGCCAACAAGAAGCTACAATTCATTTCCTTTCACCGGCAAGTGTGTCCATGTGTAGTTCCTAAAAAAAAGTATGTCCATGTGTTACGTCGTCAGGAAAAAAACCTAGAATATCCAAGCCGAATAAATATAGCCTCAAACTTACTTTTTCACTAATGACGGCTGGACAATAATATTTATTTGCATATATTGGTAGTTTCTCTTGAAGTCACTCTCTCTCACTACAATAATCCCACTGTGCCAAATCTGTACATGGGTACTAACTCGGCGTGCTCATGTCCCCGACCTTGGGGTGCATCCCTAACACATCATTGCAGTCGCGACCAGGAGGTTTTGAACCCATTGGTTGTTTTTTTAGACTTGGTGTGGTTTTGTAGAATTTCGTGATCTCTGAAACTTCCAGGTTCTAGAGATTTCTTCAGAACTTTCAAACATCTCAGAGAGTTACAAATAAATCTCTATAACTTACGGACCTTACTAATCTGTTACTTCGAAGTGTGCAAGAATTTTAGGTTTTAAGGCTATTCAACCCCCCCCCTCTTCCCCCTAGGCCATGCTAACTTTTTTCCAAAGTCTGATAGCCCCTTCGCCCTCTATAAAGTGCAACCTCTAGCTCATTCGGAGCTGGTCTTACACCCTAATTGTTGCAGGCACCTTTTAGAGAGGATTGCGAACCTATTTGAGAGCCATCCAAATCAAGAAGTGAGAATTGAGACTTAACCTTGAGTGCTACAAATGTTCTTGGTTGGATTTCTCTTGGAGCTAAAGAATTGTTACTATTGGCGATTTCCATCATCTAGACGGACCCCGGGGAGCACTTGGTGAACTTTCTCAGTGGAGTTATTCCTGAGGAGGCTCTAATTGGTGTATATGGTTTAAAACATTCCATTTAGAGTGAAAATGGGTATTCACTACTAAAGCAAGCTTTTAACTAAGTCTTGGTGAATCTTTGAATGTCCAACATGAACTAGGGATTGTGGAAATGACCCAATACCATGGGGAAAAAATTTGGTTGCCTCCCTTTTTGTTTATTGCATTACTTCTTGCTTTGCTTATTTGTGTGCAAGTTCTTTTGGGTGACAACTAGATTTACTTGGTAGCGTAGCATAGGTTTTATTCTTGCTCTTAAGGACATATATCTTAGTGTCAACCTTGCTAAGGACTTGATTAGTCTTGATGATCCTATGGACTTCTTAGTTTGTCTTTGTAGAATAACTTAGATGTCAAGATGGTAAGGGGGTGTAGAATTTTTATGGACTAATTAAGGTTGTTGCTTTAAATTTTAGAGCCAAATTCAACCCCCCAACATGAGTCATTCGGTCCTTACACCCGTATAATCTGTCACAAGTAGAAATCTATGACTGTCGACGGAATATCATCGACAGTCCTCCGAGGGGTATCCCACGAAGGTAGATTGATCGGCAAAGGTGCGCGTAATCAAGAACAAGATGGCAACAGAGACACAAGAGTTAGACATGTTCAGGCCGTCCGCACGACGTAATACCATACTCCTGTGGTCTGTTGGTTTGTATTGGCTATCGTATGATATTGCGTGTGTGATTGGATGTGGGATGGGGCATGCCGACTAGGGGACCCTTGCCCCTCCTTATATGCTCTAGAGGGGTAGGGTTACAAGAAAATATCCTATTTGGTATTATACAATATCTTATTGTAGCCTTGCGGTGCACGCCGACCAGTGCCGTGCGCCGCACGCCTTGATCTTGTGGGCTGGGTTACCTCTGATGGTGCGGCCCATGTCTTGTCTTATGGATACCGGGGGGTATACCCCCCACAGCTAGTCCCCGAGTGCCTTGTATTCTTTGAGCAACGCTGTCTTAAACAAGTCCGAGCACTTTGACGTGAAGCCGATCAGTTTAACCGGTAATCCGAGCTGTGGAAGTCAAAGTCGACCAGTTTAACTGGTGACCTGGGTGGTGAAAGTCGAAGCCGACCAGTTTAACTGGTGACCTGGGCGGTGAAAGTTAATGCCAACTAGTTTAACTGGTTAGGAGACCACGGACTTAGCCAAATAAGGCTTGCTAGAAGGATATAAGGGGCTCAAGATAAAATTTGAAAATTCTTCGCCTTAGGAGAAGTGTAGCCACTTAGACTCCATCAATAAGGAGGGTAAATCAAGAAATAAGCACTACATTCACCGCTAGGTGAAGTGTAACCACTTAGTCCACAAGCCGGTTGAAAGATAAAGAAATAAAATCTTGTAGTAGGGTCAAAGAAAATAAGCCTGAAAGCTTACAAATGTCATCTGACATGTTGAAAGGACCTAGAATGCCGCCTAGAGGAGGGGTGAATAGGTGTTTCTAAAAATTAACACCTTTAAATGCAGAAACAATTAGTAAAGGAGTTTCCAAAATGGAAACTCCAAATAACAGTAATACCACCCCTCACAAGTTAGACACAGAGTATGAAAAAGATACTAAATAAATCTAGGAGACTAGAACCTGCAACACAAGAGTTAGAACACTGATCAAATAAATTCAGCACTAAACTCTAATACCGGACGTGTCCAGTACACACGTGTTCTGCAGAATAGCCTAGCACATGAATCAATACCGGACATGTCCGGTATACACGTTTTTAGTGGAACAGCCCCAAACTTGCTCCTTTTGATTTCTATCTTCCAACCAAACTGCAGGTACCTACTTGAGATGACAAGATACACAGAGAACCTGCACAAGAGCTAGAGCAACATAAATATCAAATGAAATACGAATTGAGACATGATATTTGTTTTACCGAAGTTCAGACTCGTTCGAGTCCTACTCTCCATTGAGGGGGCTACGGGCGACCCAGCGAAGGTCATCCCTAGAGGGTACCACGAAGGTCACTCTAGCCGGAGTCTTTTCCAACTTATTTTCCTCCTTTCACTAGTTGATTCCGAGGTGGCATAATCGATCGTTACAAACTTTTCGAGGCACACCACAATCTCTCGGGTGCTCTCCGGCAATGCCTAGCCGTCTAGGACCGAAGAGTCCAAGAGTAACAAATGCAAATCATGAAATAGACAATATGCACAAGTGCTCAAGTGGTGGCTTGCTCTCTTTTTCAAATTCTCTCTTAACCCACAAATGAATTTGGCAATTGGATGAATGACTCAC